ATTACAGGCATAATGGCGTCAGAGACTGAGCGCTGTAGCGCCAGGGACTGGGTCTCATCAGTCAGGGGCATAGGGTCCCCAGCAGAAGAAGGGGAATCAGAATTTCAGGAGGGATTATCCAAAATCGGGGGTATGTCCATCTCTCTAGGGGAGGAGGGGCTGGCAGGCACTTTAGATTTGGGCATGGTAGTGCTGTGAGATATTCCCCAACAAATGTATAAAATTATATATAAACAGACAACTGTTTGGGACTAAAACTAAAAACAGAATAGAGGAGACTAGCAGAAGTTAATCACCCCAAACTAGTTATAACCTAGGAGGGTATAGTTAGGGAGCTCACCAGGGTCAAGACCGGCAGATAGGAAGAGACACACACAAAGCCAGAGAGACAAGAAGTCAGAAAATGGCCGCCGGCAATCTCGCGAGATTCGCAGCTAAAATTCAGCAAATTCGTCGAATTAAAGAACCGTACGTTTGGCAAAAAAGAGACAAATTCAATAGAACAAATAGACGAAAGGAATGAATAGGAAACAGGTGAATTCACGGACCATTCAAATAAAATTTAGTTGAACACGACAAAACAGACTAATGATGCTAAGAGCTAGAAAACTAACGACCGGCACGTGTTTGTGAAGAATATGCCGAACGGGCTAAAATTCTTTCACGAAAACAGCCGAACAGAAAGGAAAAAACAGGCCCAAAAGGGCGCCAAATAAACAGAGAAAGGGAAAATGGAGCCAAATGGCAGTGAGGAAGAGATAAGGAGATAAGTTAGCAAACAAGGAAAAAGCAAGTGAGAATGGATAATACACATAATAAAACATAAGGAAGGTCTGGAATCCTGGGCTCAAAGATAACCAACATAATACATAGTATTAAACAAGCATGTAATAATACACAGAGAAAAAAAATCTTAACAACAGGATAAATAAAAGCAAAAAAGAATCTATCAACAAAAGAAGCAATAGAAACCTAAATAACAATAAATAAATTATATCAATAACCAGAAATCAATGAGTAAACAGGCAGTATGTATGAGAGAAAATTTGTCATGTACTTATCTTTGTTCGGAGCAGCAAAGAAAGAGGAGTTGTGTGGGGAGGTGCTAACTATTATACTGGGACTTGGTATGGGAGTGGCCTATCACTATGGTTACCATTTTTTCTTACTGTTGAATTCTTTGCTGCTATTGGTGGACAGTAAAGAAAGGGTTAGGCAATATGAGCCTCCGTGTCTTGACATAAAATTCACCTTTATTGGAATCTTACACCAAGCTTTTATGAGGTGATAAAAAGAGGGGATTTTTTTATTGCATTCAGTGCTGAACTTCTTTTGCATATTTGTGTTTTCCATTTAAACTTGATTTTCCACGCATGTCCTTCTGTAGTTCTGAGAGCTCTGATTGCTTTCCTCTTCTTTTGGTTTACCAGAGTTAGCAGTTGGTTTGACAAACTCATTTATTTTTAAGTGTAGAAACGTATAAATGGTGCGCACACCCCTAGGAAGGCAGCATCGATCTACCAAATTATGGGTTGACCTATGATCAGATCCAAAGAACCCTGTGGATGAAAAGTAGAATATTGACAAGCAGGTTTAAAAGTACAAAATAAAAAAAATGTATGTAGAGGAATAAAAATGGTAACTTGTAAGAACAAACTAACATGTCTTCGGTTTCTTCCACTTTAGGTGTGTTCCTAAAGACACCTTATGTATAATGCGCAACTTAATTGCTGACAAAAAGTGAATTATTGGTCATGCTGCCTATTTTTTAAATTCTCACAAGGTTTTTTTTTTTTTACTTTACATACTGTGCCAGGAAAAAGGACATGCTATTGTAATTAGTTTTAACCCTTAAGTGCCATGAAGCACAACACGTTTGTGTAAGGCACTACTGTAGGAATGTCTAAGTGTGCATTCCCTTGTATGGTATTTGTATATAGCTGGCACAAGTGTCATAGTTTGTGGGTCATCACGGCATCATTCAGCCTTGAACATAGGCACTGTGTGCCTATTCCGTGTAACTTGTAATACACAGCGTGTTTCATTCCTGCGTTGGAGTCACTCCTGCATTCCAACTGATGCAAGACCTCTTTCCTACACTGTAGACAATACTCAGTGTCAACCTGCATCCCTTTTCATTCAAGACCTTGGTCCTGTACCATCAATAGTATTCATCATTACTCTTGCACCCATGAATACATATACCTAAGAGTGTGTTTATATTGTCCTTTAATTACTTGGTTACTGTGGTGAAACCAACCTCGCCACTGGGCATTGGAGAAGCCTGTTTGCCCGCCTCCTGCCTGCGGACTATGACCCCTGGGAGATTTGGCCCTTTAAATACAGTATTTGGGCATTTTGTATTTTATTATGCTGCTGCTGGCCCTTTAAGAACCATCTGGGGACTGCTACTGTGACTTTTGGGAACAATGCCCCTTTAAAACGGTGTCCCCAGACTTATTTGGGACAATGCTCCTTTAAGACTTTGTCCCCCAGTGTCCCCAGACTGTTAATATACTGTGTTCCTGGCTTTTTCCCACTTGGTTTAGTAAATGGGGCTTACTGAACCAA